TGATGTTAAAGAATGCACTATAAATCTAACAGATTTATATGCTGGTGATGGATATCTAAATAATGAACACCTTAGTGTTGGGTAACTTGGTGATGGATGTACTTTCTCAGATAAAACAGTTATTAAAAATAAACACTATTTTAATGCCCAAATTTTCTTTATAATAATTAAAAAAAGAAAGTTTGAAAAAGTTTGAAATTTAATTGGTTTTTAATAATAGATCAGAAAGTTGTATATAATTTATATTTAAAACAAAATATAAGAAGATAGAAAAAAACTTTAGGCTAAGGTAAATACTTTAAACACACCTAAAAGAAAAACTGTTCACAACTACTTATTACCTTTTTCGGTTGTTTGCTAGAAAACAACCAAAAAAAAAAATGAAAAAAAAAAAAAGAAATGCTAATTTGAATTATAACAATACAATTAAAACAAAATATATCTTCCTTTATAAATGCAGGTATATAATATTTATTAACATTATTAATTGCACACTTTATTTACAATAATAAATTTAAAGGTAAAATAGTAGATTAATAATTTAAAAAATTATGTGAGAAAAGATATTTGTTTTTTATATATTTTACAAAAAAATTTTAATACAATATTTAAACCTTTTCTGATATCAATTTATACATTAAACCCTTAAAATAATACTATTATTATATTAACATAATGGTAATATGGCAATATAGCCAGCTATTTTGGTTGCTAGCTATTAAGATATTATAATAACTATATTATAACTATATTAATTATATTGTAATTATAATATATTCGTTAAACTTTAACTTATATATGTTTAATCCTTATAAATTATAACGGTTAAATTTCAGAACGTTATAATTTATAAGGGTCTTACGTAATAACTTGAAGTTTAACGTATATAGGTAATAAAAATAAATACTAAAATGGAAAAGCTTCTTAAAATTTCTTATAATTCCCTAAAATCAATTAGGTCTTTACCTCATTAAGCTTTCTTATTCAGAGGGTTGCTAATTCTAACTGTATACCCAGAAGTGTATAATGAAAATAAATGATGTTATTCCGACAAATATGTTAAGGAGCCCGTGTGCAAAACGCGCTAAATAATGAGTAAATTAAACCATAGTCATTTCTTATGACTATGATTAAACAATTGGTCTAAAAAGACGTCCTTGAAGCGTGTAAAACACGTTTTTTATAGACCAAATGTTGGCTGGAAAACTGAGCTCTTAATTGATATTTTCTTTAACTATTTTTAGGAAAAAATCTTTCAATTGGTCTAGTATTTAATTAGATAATAGATTTTTTCAGTTTCAAAAATTTTAATCTTTAAATTTGGCGCTTTTTTTAGATAGGTATTTGTTTTATTTGCACGATCTCGTAGATGTACCACATAAAATTTATTCTAGTGTTTAAATAAAGAAAATCATATAAATGTTTTTTTCAGTACCATATTAAGGTAGGGGGCATGGGAATGAGTAGAGGGTGACAGGGATTATGGGTGGCGCATTAACCCCCTGAAACAGTTATTTTGAAAATCGCGTAATAATATATATTTTATTGATACCTTTTATCATAATTATTAAGTAATCTAAACAATCTAAAGTTTTCAATTTTACTATCTTAAACTAAATTTAAATTTATTGACAGATTTTAATTTTTGTAGAAAAATATTGTAAATTGCAAAAGTAATGACTATGCAAATTTTCTGACCCCCTCCCCCCAAAAAAATGGAAATTTTGCATGGTCATAACATTTGTAATTTTTAATATTTTTCTACAAAATTTAAAATCTGTCGATAAATTTAAATTTAGTTTAAGTTAGTAAAGTTGAAATTTTCACTACATAAGTGCCCTCACATTTGGGCAGGGATGGGGCAAGCGTTTTAGGGCTATTTGTTCCCAGGCCTCTATCATCCCAAATTTTTGCAAGGCCCTCTAATTTAGCATAGGTATGAAAATTATTAAATTTGAAGCTTGCACAATGTGCGAAAGTGCCCAATCTAAAACTGCGGGCGACCATAGTTCATGATTAACCTGTTTATCATACCAGGTTTTAACCATTTTATGAACATATTTTCTTTAAATTTTAACTCAAATTTGTTATATGCCGAATCTAAAACAAAAAAACACTTATCACTTATTTGCATGAAACAATTTTCATTAGCATGGAAATGTTTTTGGATATGATACTTTTTATCTCTCTTGTAATGTTCAGATATCCGGGTTTTTAGATAGCGAGTAGTTTCGCCTATATAACAAGAGTTACATACTGCACAAACAAACTTATGCGCCACGAACAATTTGAACTCTAGAGGAACAAGATCTTTAGAAGAAAAGAATTTAGAAATTTTAAGCGAGGTAAATACAAATAATATAATAATACTAATATAATAATACTAATTAATATTTGCTGAACGGCAATATCTTTTAGCAATTGAATTCAGTTTTTTTTCGTTGAATCAGATATTTTCCCCAAAAGCGACAGTTATAAATAAGACAAAGATTCTTTGATTTTTGGTTGTGGTGGAGTATTTAAATTAATCTTGTTTAAATAGGAGTTATATATTTTTGGAATGAGCCAAGATGGGTACATGTTTCTTTAAAATACTTTAAAGAGGCCGTTTATGTCAGAGTGAAACCCAAGTTTATTACCATTTATTTTAAACGTTCTATCGATTAAGCATTTGATTAACTTTGTACAAAACTCTGTACGAACTCTGTACTTGACTAACTCTGTACGAAAATAGAGTGAAACTATAAAAATTAGTGTGAAGACCAGAATAGGTTTTTTTTATGAAAAATGTTAATGGTAACTGAAGAATTAGTTTTATGTAGAGTTACGTCTAAATAAGGTATTTTTGAGTTTACTTCTTGTTCCATAGTAAAAGAAATAGAATTGTATCTACTGTTTCTATATCTAAGAAAAAGATGTGCGTCATTTTCTGACTGGAAAGCAGCACAAATGTTATCAACGTATCTTTTTTTAAAAACTGGTTTTACACCATTGAAATTTTTAATCCATTTATTTTCAAAATGACCTATGAGCGATTTTGGCAGGAACAGGCGCCAGTGGAGAACCCATTGCTACACCATCGATTTGATCATAAGTTTGTTCTTTGAAAAGAAAATGTGTTTGCGTAAAAGTAGCAAATTGGAATAGTTTTTTTAAATCAATTTTAGTAAATTTAATGTTTTTATTATGGAGCAAAATTAAGTTGACTAAATGGTTTCTTGAAGCAGAATTGAATTAAATGGTTTCTTGAAACAGAACCCCTACTCCCCCCTCAAAGAAGGTAATTTTTATGTCATAGTCGGTATTTTTACGAATTTAGTCGGCTAGTTGGGTATTTGACACAATTCAGTCGGGTAAATATTAGTTTTGAGGACCTTGTTTTTTGGAAGCCAATCGATACTTTTTAAGGATTCACCGATATACATATTATTAAAAGAAAGTATTAAAAAAGAAATTTAATATCCTGCTATTTTATACATACTTTTATAAACGAGATTTTTTTTCCAACGGGTACAGAAAGTTTGTTGGACGTCTTAAGAACATCATACGGACTTGCGACGTTTATAATGCGTTGTATAGACGTTATACTGACGTCAATTCAAATTAAAAATGTCAATCAAAAAAGATATTGTTTTGTCTTTAATAGGAAAACATATTGTTATCTATTTCACTATCAAGAATGGATGTACATCTTTCATTTGTAATTCTCATTTATCATTGCTGGAGATATTGATCCATGTACATCTTTGAATGTGGAACCGGCGTTAGTAGGTTTCAGGCGGAAGGGGGTGCCATTCGTGTTTTTGCTATTAACATTTTTAACAGATAAAAATAAATCTAAATTGCACAACAATGTTGAAATTAGTTAATTTATAGTTTTTTGTTTTACTCCGTTAAAAAAACTGTAGTTTTATGAACATCTGTCACTTTCACTTTCACTTTCACTTTCCAGTCACATAGTTTTGATACATCGAACTAAGTTGCAAATGCATTAACTATGTGCGTTATGATTTTATCACAAAAAAAAAAACATTTAATATAAACTTTAATGTTGAAAAGATTACTTTTTTATTGTATTTTTTTAAATTTCAATTATTTCTTTTTATAATTTTTTGTGTATTCCTTAAAACTGGGGGTTCATTACACACTTTATCGCTTTGTAAAAAGTTTAGAAGCAAATTAAACAGCACTAACGTATATTAGATACCTTGAACTATTTTAACACTAATTAAATCCCAATTTAGATTAACACTTCATTTAGGTGAGCTAATTTTTTGTAGGAAATTATAATTAAAATTTTTTATTCTAAGAGCTCAGAATATTTATATCATATTTAACAGATGTCTAACCATTACGCCACGGATGCCACAACTTATTTAAGTATCAATTCTTTTGATTATGAACTCAGTGTTTTTCCGCTAGTTTACTATCAATTAAATTGTAAATTTGCAGACTAAGAGGTATCAAACATATAAAAAAAAAAAAAAAAAGATGCTACAGCATCTATTGCTAATATCCAAACTTTTTCCAAGTTAACAGCTTACTTATAAAATGTCTCAGACTGATTTTGTTTTTAAAGTTGTTTACATTAAGTGGGGTTTTGAAGGTAAAGCAAAACGCACCATTTAACCATAGATAACAAATTGATAGGTGCACATTTTAGAACTTTTTTTTTTCTAAATATTCACCTCCTCAAGGCCGAGAAGGCCAGTACAGTCGAGGAGGCTACTTTTGTTGTTACAACTCTCTCTCTCTCTCAACTCTATAACTCCAAAACACGAACCTCGCAGAACAAGGCTGCTGCGCGGAGAAACAAGTTGAGCGCGGTAATATCAGGAACGTGGTGGGATCCAAATCGAAACTTCTCGCTTATGAGGCGAGCGCTCTACCACTGTACCACTAGCGCATTATTACAAAACTTATTAGAACTAATGAATAGCTAATAATGATTTCTAAACCCATGTGTTCAAATAACTTTAAAAGGTTTAAAATATACTAACCTTTAACTGAAACTTCCCAAGAGTTGTTTGGTTTGCTTTTATCGAACGTAAAGTTCATTTTAATTTGGGATATTTTTATAAAATCTTTGAACATGACAACTGGTTTATCGAAATTTGCAGAAACTCTTATAAGATTTCCGGTTGTTTTGTAACTAAACTTGTCGGTATTAATACTTCCAAGAGGAGGAAATCCAGGTGGAAGTTTAACAAGCTGATATGAAGGCGCAATTGATTCCAAAAGATCACGTGCTGTTAAAACGTTATCTAAAAACCAAACGAAAAAGAAAATTGTGATTTTTAGTTTGTTCCAACGTCATTTAGTTTAATTGTGTTATACGTACCTTTTTTATTTGGAGACGCAGTAACGAGTAAACATCCAAATAAAACAACATTTAATACAATTTGGTGCATGGTTACGATATTTGATACAACTTGGTAAATGATTAATAAAACAATATCTGAATATAATAAAATGAATTTATTTTAAGTAACATTAGGGTACTTTTTATTATTTTTACAAATTAATTTCAATATTATCGTTGTTAAATAAACAAGTTCTAGATTTAAATAATACAGTTGTAAGAATGTTGAATGAAAGTTTGCTGTGAAGAATTAGGATAAAAAGGCTCAAAAATTTTTATAAATAAAGTTATTTATTGAATCTTTTAAAAAAGCTCCGTAAAAGTTTTTTATTGAATCTTTTATACGTCTAAACCTAAATATCATTTATTTACTTAAAATTTATTAAAATTATAAACTATAATTTATTTCTCTTACTTGTGATTTTTTTAGTAGTTTAACTTATAATTTTATTTTTTAATAATGTAGTATTTACTATATTTATATTATATTATATTAGTTTTTCGTGTTTCATTTTGCCTCGCGTGTAGTCATTTTGATAGTTCAAAGAAAAGTATCATTTTAAGTTCCATCTTTTTTCCCATCTTTTTTCCTACTTTGCTTCGGTGTTTAATCCAGAGAGAGGGCTGATTGCAACTCACCTACAGGTTTATCAACATTTGATAACAACATCAGCAAGCAGCATTAACCCTTATTTAAATATCACATATTTTCAAAGTGATTTTTTTAAAGGTTGTAGGATCTGGTTTTATATAAAACTCAGAAAAGTTGATTATCAAATTAATAACCTTAGAAAAGTGAATTATTCAATAGTTATCATTGGGAAATTAAATGAACAATTAATATCCTCAGGTAAGAAAACGTTATTAAAGATTTAATAGCTGGAAAGCCACTTTAATAAACTGTAAAACATAAAATACTTTAAACTATACTAACTTTTTTTTAAACTAATTTTCTGCCTTTAAAAATTTTTTCTAACATTAAAAATTGCGCAATTAAATCTAATATAACTTTTAGCCAATCGTAATTTTAGTCAATTGTAATTAATGATTTATTTCATAAGTAAAATAAAAACTTGTTATAAAATATTTTGTTTAAAAAAATCAATATTTTCAAAATTGTTGAAAAAAAATTATTACCCTAAACGAAATTTCATCCGAATGTGATAATGTAATGCGATAATGGCCGTGTCTTATATATATATATATATATATATATATATATATATATATATATATATATATATATATATATATATATATATATATATATATATATATATATATATATATATATATATTACGTCATTTATTAAATACTAAAATAAAAAGAACATTTATTATTGAATAACTTAATAAATACTAAAATAAAAACAATAATTAACAAACCTAAAATTTGCAACGGTGGGGCAAATATATTTGTATTTAAGATTAATGCTGATTTCAAGTGAGCGGAAGTTCTGCAAAGTTTTGTTTTAAATAAAGTTTCCCATTTTTACTTAAGTGTTAATTTTAGAAACAACTGTTATCTCAGCATGCGGCTTTTAAACATTTTTTTATTTTTAAATTAATAAAATTTTTAGTTAATGATGCGCTATATTATTAGAGTAGAACTTTCTTAGATAAATATCTACATTAAAATTATTATTAACCACTCGAGCCTAACAAAACTCATTGAGCATTATCGTACTCTACGAGTTTTCTACGAGTTAATACCGAATATTTTACGAATATTTACAAAGTTTATAAAACAAAACTCTGTTTCAGCTGTCTTCAACTAATTATATTTGCTTTGCTTCTACTATTAATTCCCGTCAGTTTATGTCATTCCCTAAGGAACTGGATCCAGAGGAGTAGTTTAACTTGATTTTTTTTAAAAAAAAAAAAGGAAAAATTTTGGCGTTTATATTTTCTTAGTATACTATAAAAGAAAAATCTTTTTAAAAAAAAGTTAAAGAAACAGTTTTGAAAAAAAAAACACTTTAAAGAATTAAATTTTTTTTTTTTATAATTATATAATTATATAACTTTTTACTTATAATTTAATCTTAAACAATATATAATGTGATTTTAAGATAACATTTAAAAATATTAGTTGATAAAGTAAAAATTTATTTTAGGAAAAAATCCTACTATAAGCTTTATAGTTTTTTTCTTTTTCACTCAATTTTCAATTTTAAAAAAGAGTGATTAAAAGTTATATATAAAAATTATTTTAGGCTCTTTATTTCAATTTTTTTTTGTTCTTTATTAAAATCCTAATACAAATATGTAAAAAAAATATCTTGATTTCGTTAAAAAAGTAAAAAAGAACGCGGAAACTCTAAAAAAACAATGAAGTCATTTCACCTAGAACCACTAAAAATAAAAGATTTACTTATTGCGCGTTGGTAAATCATATTGATTGCGTAACACTGTGCTTTAATATGTAAAGATTGCAATATAATGTTGAAATTAATAATCCAAAATACTTCATAAAACAATAATCCATAATATATATTCATATATATGGGCCATTTCTTATCCTGGCCCAATGCTATGGAATTTTCAAGCCTGAGTCGTAAACTTAGATAAACCAATTCCGCTCAAAATTTAAAAAGAACATATTGAATTTATTGCCAATCAAAGTTCTTTATTTGATTTTTTTAACAACACAATTTTATCCTCTTTTTATTTATTAAAAGTTAAGTTATATTAGTACTAATGTTAATATTTTCTCTTCCTTTCTCCGGTCTTGTTAAGTTATATTAGTACTAATGTTAATATTTTCTCTTCCTTTCTCCGGTCTTGTTAAGTTATATTAGTACTAATGTTAATATTTTCTCTTCCTTTCTCCGGTCTTGTTAAGTTATATTAGTACTAATGTTAATATTTTCTCTTCCTTTCTCCGGTCTTGTTACTACTATACATGATGAAATGTATTTTAAATTTATTTTTAATTATTGTATTTAATGTTTTAAAATATATTTTATATGACGAAAATTACCTTGAATTGTAAATTGGTACTGACAAATATGTATATATAGGGTAAACTACCCAGTGGTTGACACCCGTTCCAGTTTTCGATGTTTTGTTACTAAAAATAGGCTGAGCAAACACTAACTGAAGAAGAGTCTGAAATGATCACCTATCTTTCCTTTATATATGGAGGAAGTTTGGATATCGTAAACATTAACATAAACGCATATGATTATTTGGAACAAAAAAGGGTTCCGTAAATACCCTTCACTCTTATAAATAATTTTCATAACTGTTTCCAGATAACCACAAGAAACGCATGACAAATGTAATGTATTTGAAATTTTTTTTTTTTCATGCTGTCACTGAAATAGATGAGATAAATGTACAATCACTTAAAACCAAAAAGTTGAAAGGGAAGTGGAGGGTAGAAGGTGTATCGAAGACTGGAGGCAATTTATTATGTTTTCCAGTATTCGACAAAAAATTTTTTTTTATTATTATTATTTTATCGTATAATAAGGGTTCTGAGCCACATATTTTATGTAATTTTGGCCAGAGATTTATGTTTGAAAGTAACACTTCTATAAGTTATTGAATTTTATTCCAGTCCCCGATAAGACCGGTTCTTTGCCAGTTCTTTGAAGAATTCCTAATTTTTATAAATAATTCGGGTTCCTAATATTCTCTAATGGTTCTTTGAAGAACTAATACAAAGAACCCACAAGGGTCTTCTAATCGATTTACGGAAAACCTTGAAGAACCTTAATTTAGGGTTCTTCAAATGTTTTTAAAACGGTGTTTTATTTTTCTAAGAGGTTGCTAACTTTTTTATATAGGTAGACTAGTATGAATTTATAATGAATGGTATAGTAACAGTAACAAATGAATTAACAAAAATCATTACAATATTTAATTTGTGCTTTAATCATTTGAGTTGTTTTTATTACCTTTGTTAACATCAACAGCGAATATAAAAGCAACGCATTTTTTTTTTTTTTTTTTTTTGAGCATTTTTCTTATACCTAAATGCTTTTATCATGCATCTTTTGAATAAAAATATAATTGTTTATTGCAAATGGGTTTATTTAGATAAAAAAATGTATCATTTGTTAAAATTTAAAAAATGGCAAATTATTTGAATTGGAGTATAAAAGTTGTTTGTGTATACTTAGAGCTTAAAGGACTGGAACTTAGACAAAAAATTATTGGTTAGATTAATGTTTTTATTTATTTTCAAGCCATCATATAAGTGTTCCGACACTGTATATATATATATATATATATATATATATATATATATATATATATATATATATATATATATATATATATATATATATATATATATATATATATATATATATATATATATATAATTTTTGTAAAATATAAATTTTGTTAATTTTTTGAAAATATTATATTTAAGTTAATTATTTAAAAATAGTTTTTCTTTACTTTATTGCCATATATTGCAATATAAATTGAATTTTAAGGAAAAATTCTATTATAATCTATTATAAGTATACTTTCAATGACAACCACGAGTATATTTTTAGTAGTTAGACTAGTAAGTTTTTTTTGTGTGTTTTGTTAAAACATAAACACCGAGTTTGAGCTCTTTACATCAGTGTAGGGTAGACCGGGGCAATTTTTTAACTTTTGATGTTACAAGAAAAAGAGGTAAGAATACCATGGTTGAGTATACCACCATACTAAGATAATGAATAATATTTTTTATTTTTATATTATTTTAACCTTCTAACTTTTGATTAATCAAGATTGCCTCCTAATTTGATTAGTTGTTGTAATTTTTAAATGAGATTTGCTGTTTAGTGTTATTATTTAAAACTATCATTTCACTCTAACATTATTCATTTTAAAAATGATTATTTCACTCTAACATTATTCATTTTAAAAATGATTATTTCACTCTAACATTATTCAATTTAAAAATGATTATTTCACTCTAACATTATTCATTTTAAAAATGATTGAAACATTTAAAAATAAATGATAAGATCAGAGTTTCATAAATTTTTTTAAAACTTTTTCACTGGAGTTTGTGGTGAATACTTTAACCTTCTCACTGGAGTTTGTGGTGAATACTTTAACCTTCTCACTGGAGTTTGTGGTGAATACTTTAACCTTCTTACTGGAGTTATGGTGAATACTTTAACCTTCTCACTGGAGTTTGTGGTGAATACTTTAACCTTCTCACTGGAGTTTGTGGTGAATACTTTAACCTTCTCACTGGAGTTTGTGGTGAATACTTTAAATAGGCTTTTGTCCAAGTATAAAAGTGTGGGGCAATTTTGCCACAGAATAATGAAATAGTTTTACAGTTGAGCGAGCTACAACCTTAAATGCAATTTTTTATGCCTTAGGTGACGGTTTCCTATCATTTTTGATTTTTAAGGAAAAACTCCTTCTTGATAACTTCGAGTTTCCAATAGGAACCTCTTTAAAATGGAGATTGTGTAATATTGAGCATGACATTTTTATTAAACTTATTAAATTGCAAACCCTGTTATTTTGAACAAGACAATATTATTACTACATTACAATAACCAAATATATTTTACAATTTTTACATTAGTAACGGCAGGACTTCAAGAAGATTACGAGGATGTTGTCATGAAGTCCTTTACGATATATAGTTAATTTTTAATAAAAATACAGTCATACACATTTATGAAAAAATATATAAAAATCAAGATAAAATGTTAAAAAGCCAAATTAAAATTTTAAACCAAATAATATACAATACAAAATTAAAAAAAAAAACTATTTAAAAAAATGTTCCAGAGATAAGGACCTCGGTTAGAAATAAAAACCTAGTTTTACTTTTATGGCAAAAAGGGGAAATAAAACTGTTATTAATTCGAAGATTGTATTGGTTTTTAGGTTTCATACAATAAAGATTTTGTTATACATTTTCTCTGCATTTAAACACGAAGCATAATATATTAAAAGCATCTAATTGATATACTTTTAAAACATTCACATCTTTAAAAAGTTATTTCGTATGTAAAATTTATTTTTCAAGTTTATTGCGCGAGCTGCGTGTTTCTGATGAAAGTAAAAAGATTTTAGTTTTGTTCTATGAGTGCTTCCCCATATAATGTTCACGTAGTTTATATGACATTGTATAAATAAATAATTTAATTGTGTTAACTGGTGTTTACCTAATATATTTATCATAATAATATATAATTGATTATTTATATAATAATATATAATTAATTATTTATATAATATATATAATTGGTTATTTAACTCATTTCAATACTCACCAACAAAAGATATGAAAAAATTTTCTCTCTATTTAGATAGATATAAAAATTTAGAATTTGTTCGGAATATTCCAAAAAAAAGAACATTCCAAAAGAATGGAAGCTGTCGAATTCTCTCCCCTTAACAACATTGAACTAGTATGGTTACCTTTACAAACTACGCACTAAAATAAAGAAAAATGATCAGAGACTTTGTCTAAACAACTCTTGAATGAATCATCAACCTTTTTACCTCGCAATCAACTTTTGTTTTTTAACAGCGTATGAAAAGAGACGGTTGTGAAAAGAGGACTTATTGAAAATGCATTCGCACATTCTAAGGTGTATCCACTCCGCATCACTTTAAAGGGATACGAGTATAAAAAGAT